AATCCAATATTGCTAACCCTAGCCCATGAAGAACAATGCTGTCTTCCTCATATAGTGCCACATGATGATATATTATGGGAGATAGTGGCATAACCATGAAACGTTGTATGTCAGGTCTGACATATTCTGAGGACTTTTGCATATATGTAAAAAATCAGATATTGCTAAAAAGACTATGAATAATGACAAAAGGAAAACTTTTCTTAGCCAACATGTCTTATCCTCTCATGGACTTTATCAATGCAAATATAAGGATTTTATTTTGTAACAATTATTTATAAACAAAAGTAAAGATGTTTTTAGTTTTTCAGAATTTTTAAATTTAAGAACATTCATAAATATACTTCAAGATAACTGTAAGTCAAGGTAAATTATGGAGGATGCTAAGTGATGTAATTTGATGTCTAATAAATGAAAGTGAATAAATATTCTTGGATTTTTTATTATTATAATTATTATTTATATTATTCAGTTTGGGAAATTAATTCATGTATTAAAAGAGAAAGTCACTTAGAGGGATTTTTCTTGAGAGTGTGGGTATTGAATCTTACATAAATATAAATCTGCACCAGATTTTTTTAAATATCTCCTTTCATAAAAGACATACTCCTATATTTCTAATGTCTCTGTCTAAAACTCTGAAATTTTACTTACTATTTATTTACTTTTTTTCTTTTCACAATATGAGTGGATAGGTTTGCTTATCACTTGGTCCATATTCTGCATGGGCCTTTTGAACTTGTTTCTAGTTCTTTCGAAAGCCTTTTCTTTCTCTTTCACTTCTGGTAGCTTCTTGTGTTTTGGTGGCATTATCTCCTTCCTTGGGGCAGTGCCTCTTTCTCTGTAACACAAGTTACTCTTGGGCCTTGTACAGGGTGATCATCATTTTATATATATATACACACACTTACACACACACAAGCACATTTAATGTCTTATATTTAATATACACACATTGAATATTGTTTAATTTCTCCTATATTCATGAGAAAAGAGTGCTCAATATCAGAGACAGAGTTTTTGTAGACATAGACAATGTAGGCATTGAATTCAACACTGCATAATGACTGTCAGTTTCACACTTCATTTGGTCTGAAGATGTGTATTTAAGCAGTAGTCCTTCATTAATAGAAGCTCGATGAAAAACAGATTTTTTAATTCTTTAGTTTTCTTATTTATACTTGATTAAAGGCTGTCAAAGGACTTCTTTAAACTTGATTTCAAGTCACTTCTGATTTACAGAATTTATATTATAATTATTTGCAATTAAATAAAAGGTGACTACTTTTTAATTAGAGAAACGTCAAACTTATCTTGCATTGGGCAGCAACGAATCAAAGAGAAGAACAACTCAGAATTCAAAACCATGGGCAAGGCAATGGTAAATAGCTTCACTATCTTTCCAAATAAGTTATGCCAAATCACAGATAATAAAGAAGAAATATCAGTAGAGAGCCATGATCAGGGACATTTGCCATTTAAAATTTGCTTTATTTGTACTGACTGATCCAAAATCAGCAGAAGTCTGGTATTTTTTAACATATATTTACATTATTTACATTTGGACTATTTTCTTCATCTTTGTTGTTGTTAGCATATCATTTTAGTTGTTATGCTCTTTAACCTTCTTCAAGTGTCTGTTGATCAAGAAATTTCAAACTGAACCCTTTATTTAATCTATGGAGAGATTGTCCTAAAGCACTGGCCATGTCAAGGGATACTTCATCTTCTTATTTAGAACAGCTCAGTTATTACTCAACTTGTTTCCACTATGATTAAGTCTTTACTAAATAACTTACAGTTATTATTTCATGAAATTTACTATGTTTAATATACTAGTCTATTGTCTCATAGAACACTCTTAAACTTAGAGCTTTAAACATGAAGAAGGCTGGAGAGCATACTGGTGTAAGTGTTATGCTAATAAAAAAAATGGACATTAATCCGACTGTAAATTATGTTCACACCTCATCCTAGAAATTTGCACAGAAATACATGCAAGCAATTTAGGGAATTGTTTTTGATTGAAGAGGAAAATAAAAAAAATAAATGAGAAGATTAATAACTTTTGCATAAAATAATGAAATAATGCAATGTATATTTTGTAAAAAAAAAATTAATTTCTCTATAAAATATATAATGAAAAATATGTTTTAAAGATATCATTTTTTTATACAACATTTACACTTTCAATGATCATTTTCTTTTCAGTTCCTGTCACAAAGACAGATGAATATACAGAAATTGGAATGTTATTATCAGAAGTGAGTGCAAATCCTCCTAGAGAGCACCTATTTTCCTGTAATAAAATTTCTTAAATATTCAAGACAGTAGAAAACAATAAATAAATGGAGCATCTACTTAAATATTGGTATCCACTAAAAATAACGTTCAAGTGATAAAATCTGTTGGATTAATAAGTAAAAAAATCCATTACTTATTTAGAAACACTTTGTGTATATTTTACTATAGTTCATCACTTCACCAATGAGAGAATTATTTTAATGTTATAAAATATCTTTTTCAGTCAATATTGACAGCAATAGTACAATAATCTACTCTGATGAAAATACCTTTTTTTACAATACAGACTGGGTTGTGACGAGCATAAACTAATCTTACTGAATTTTTCACATTTCTTTTCTGTACAAAGCAGGAGACACTTAGTTCTGGAGAAAGTTGAGGAAAATGGTTCTAAAATATGAGTTCAGTTAAACTATGCTGAAAATACTTGTTTTATTGGCATCTGTCTATATTTCTGAAATGAAGTATTGTAGCTATTTACATCATTTGGATTTTTATTGCCATATTTATAATGTTTCAGGTGTTGTGAGCTCTGGCATTCTTCAGTTGATTTATGTTAGAATTTTGAACCAAACACTTTATTTAGTTCACTGGGGTAGATATGGAGGACAAAAGAAGTGCACCACTCTCTGTGAATTGAAGTTGAAATAATAGAGAGCATCAATGGAAAAACTTAAGAAATCAGCTCATATACTAAGACACGAAAATCTCCTAAGCCAGCCAAGCATAGACATGAATATAATATGGGAATCAAACATCAGAGACCTAGAGAAAAACTACAATAACAAAAAATTGTAATATGAGCTCTGGTAAAAATGGTTACTAGGATATTAGGTTTATAAGTCCAAAAAATTCACTTAAGGACATAAAGCCTAGTGGATTGAAGTAATCCAAAAAAATGACTTGACCCATAGAGTTGTGAGTTCAATCCTTGGCCATAGCAGATGGAATAAAAACTTAGAGAGTTGAGCTACTAAAGGGAATTAACTGAAACTAAGACAACCAAAAAAGGCATGGCACATGGAATTAGAACAATCTACCTCCATGGACTTCGAAATTCCAGCGTATATCACCTGAAGAAGGTCAAAGCATACAATGGTCAAATGTGTGAATTTTGTTATTCAATGTAATAGTATTTAAAATCAAGCTATTGAATGTAAAATTTCTATTAACATGAGCAGATACACCTAGGCCTAGGATAACCAGTAAAGACAAAAAGAAAATTGTGCCCCAAATTCTCAGAGATGTCATTCAATGATAAACGATAGTAAATCTTCCTGTATCTGTTGGTTGATGGTGTAGTCTGGTGTTCACTTGAGCAGCATTTCATGCCAGACCAACCAATGACTGCTAGAAGTTGATCAATAATGACACTATGAGCAAACATGGCCGACATTTCATTCTTTTTTTCTAATTTCTTTGGTTAATTTATTTTTATAACATCAATTTCTTTCTCTTTAGAGAATTGTTATTTTTATTATTTTACCTCATTTCTTTCCTTCTTTTTGTCTTTTATTCCTGTATTCTATTCTGTTAAATAATTGATCTTCTTCCATCAACACATCTTTTTCCTGTTTTCTTTTTTTTTCCCCAAATTCAATTGCATTTTTTTAAACTTTATTTTTTCCTTCAGTTTTTTAATAACATTTCTTCTTTGTTTTCTTCTCAGCACATTTTTTCCCATATTTTTATCCATTATTACATAATTCTTCCCTTCCTCTCTTGTTCTTGTCATTTCCTTTCTTTCATTTTATTCACTTCAGCATTTTCCTTTCTTTTTTTAAATAATTATATTGTTAATTGGTTTTTCTTCTCTTATCTTTTAATATTTACAATTTTAATCTCTCTTTTCTTTCTTTTACTAACAATGTATTAAATCATTCTTCTTTCTTTCTTCTAACAGCATTATTCATTTGTTTTTCATTTTCTCTTATAATTACATATTTCTTTTTCTTTCTTTTTCTTACAATTACATCTTTCATTCTATTTCTTATTACATCTTTCTTTCTGTCTGTTTTTTATTAAATCTTTCTTTCTATCTCTTTTTATTATTACATCATTCTTTCTGTCTGTTTTTTATTAAATCTTTCTTTCTATCTCTTTTTATTATTACATCATTCTTTCTGTCTTTCTTTCTCATAATTACATCTTTCTTTCAATTTCCTTCTTTCATTTTTTCACAATTAGATCTTTCTTTCCTTTCTCTTTCTCATGATTACATCTTTCTTCCATTTTCATTGTCTCGTTCTCATAATTACACTTTTCTTTTATATTCCTTCTTTGTCTTTCTTATTTTCTTTCACTTTCTTTCTCATAGTCGCACATTTCCTTCTTTCTTTTTCATTATTATATCACCTATTTTTGTCTTTCAAATAATTACATCTTATTTTTTCTTTCACTTTCTTTCTCATACTGCCATCATTTCTTTATCCCCCGCTCTTTCTTTTCAATAGTTTTTCTTTTTCAAGTGCCATCCGAACAAACAGAAAACAAAGTCATCCAGTTTTCCATTTGTCTATTTCTTTCATTCTGCTTTTAAAACACTAAATTGAATGATTATTTGTTTCTTCCTCGTTTTTCTTGATAAACTGATTCTTTCTGTTGCATCTGACAAATATCCCATCCACAAATCCTTTATTTTATTCTTTCATTTCAGTGAACACAATACATATCATCTAGGCTTATGAAAATATCATGTTGAAACACCAATTCCCATATGATCACTGAAGTCAAGCAATCTCAAGCTTCATCAGTACCTACATGGGTGACCACTTGGGGATACCAGGTGCTGTAAGCTTGGATGTGTGGGTAGTGTAATGTAATCTGCTTGGAATTGTTAATCAGAGCCAAGTTCCAATTCCAGTTGTGTTTGTCATATTCACTTATGTCCTCATGGGAAAGGTATGAATCCAACTCCATCTATGGGTAAATTAGTAAGACTTGTATCACGAAATCATTATTATCTTCAATAAAAATTCTTATAATGTAAAAATATTTTCTGGTTTTAAATAACCTGAAAAGAGTTGATAAGCCATAAAAAATTAACCAATCAATCAAAAAAAACATATTACCTGATACATTTTTAAAAAAAATGAGATTTCAAGGAACGATCCATATACACCCACAAACAAATTCTTCCCATCTGAACATGTGAGTTTAAATAATTATAAGAACACATACACGTGTACAGACGTGTATTTTCATATTTGCTCTCTCTCATAAATTCATGGACATATATAGGCAAAAATATATAAATACCTGAAAACACAGAAACAAGCATATACAAGTGTGGGCAATTATGCCACAATTCCATTATCTACTCAAAAATATGCTTCTTTTTTTTTTTTTTTTTTTTAAGCATTTCACCCCAAGCAAGGTGGGAAGCCACTAGGATGCAAGGGGTTACAGAAAGTTTAGAGCAAGATCAGATAGGAGTGATAGAAGAAAGGATGAGGGTAGTGGATAGATCAAGGCAACTGGAGATGTCGATTGACATTACACTTGAATAGCTGGAGATTATAGCTCACAGGGAAACAGGAATAGGGAAGGGAGTTCCACAGGTGAGAGGTGTGAGACATGAAGCTATTAGAGTAGAAGAGATGGCTACATTTAGGAGTTTCGACAATGAAGGGGTGAGAGTGGGATGCCAGCTTTGTAAGGTGCTGGAACTCATGACGTCTGGGAACCAGCGAATGTAGCTCCTTGGAGCAATTTCCATGAAAGTATTTGTAGAACAGACAGAGGGAGGTGACGGTGCATCTGTGAGAAAGTGACTGTAGACGAGACGCCAGGGCAGGGCCAACTACATTGTATATCTGCCTCTGGAGCCTATCAAGAACTCCGAGGCAAACAGAAGGGGCACCAGACCATATATGGCAGCAGTACTCCATGCAAGGGCGAATTGTTTATTTGTAGATCTGGAGGATTGACTCCGGGGAGAAAAACTTCCTGGCGCAGCTCAGGGAGCCAACTTTCCTTTAAATACATACCAGTTTGATTAGAAGAGGAAATAATTCACTGAGAAGAAAATACATTGAAAGTGCACTAATCTCAATTCTCCAAGAGTCAACCTCAGACATGGCTTATACACAATGTCACTGATCATCATAAAAACAGTATTAGCACAATACGGTAGACAAACTAAAAGAGAAAAAAATCTAATCAGAGTGGGCTAATTTTAAATCCAGTGAACTTTAACAGCTTCAATATGAAGAAAAAAAAAAATCAGAAAGAATTTTCTAGTCTGAGTACCTGATAAAATTATTACCTCATCTTCAAAGATTCCAGTGTACTTTCATAATATAAAAATTTGTCTTTCATTCTACATGGAGATGAAATACATTGTCTATAAAAGCTTTTCCACTTTGTATCATTATCTTGGTATACATATGTATGTATGTATCTCTATATAGTTACAATGTTCCTTCAGAATGTGAGTAATCATTGTTCTCCACAGTTTTTGTTGTTCATGTATAATTTAAATACACATGTGGAAAAATTAGGCTTTTATTTGATGGTGTAGTGATTCTGAGTGATGTTAGAAATGTCTGGTGAGACATGGGACACTCCAAGTAACTTGTTATATGAAAAGAGTGATCAATCTATATAAATTTACCAAAGTAGGTAGTACCTCATAAATTATATATCTTCGTACTGCAAACATTATTTTTTTAGTGGATACATAGGGTTTGAGTAGACATCCTCATTTTTTTTAAACAGTATAATTAATATCTACTGGCTTGAGTATTTAAGAGTCTTTAAGAAAATGTGCTTTATTGCAGGGTTTGAATCTGCAGGAGGAGCACTTAAAATTTCGTATATTTATAGAAAAATGCTCAGTATTGGAAATAAGGTATTTGTAGTTATAGGTAGCGTGGACATTGGAACTGTATATAAATATTATATTTTGGGTTTGAGTAGACAACCCTGCTATTTAAACAGTGAAGACTACTAGACAATAAATTAAGAAATCCTGCTAAAGAAAATGTGCCTTCTAACTGGAATCATAATTGTGTATTCTCTTTTTCAATTAGAGAAAGCATTTTAAAGCCAGGTGTCTTACTAATTAGACCATAAGAAGGCATCATGACAAAGAAACAAGTGTATCCACTAAATATATTGTTTGTAGTATCAAGAAATATTGGATTAAAAAAATTCATTAATTGCTTTAAAATTATTTTGTTTTGCCAGAAATTTCACACATCACCAAAATCATATAAAGTAAGTCCTCAGGTTACGATAGTCCTGACTTATGACAATACAATCTGCATTAATCTTGGTTCAACATATTGCTTGCCTCATACATATGACTGTATACATATAAATGTTTTTCACCTCTGACCTTGTTTTTTTGTGTTTTTATGTACCTTATAACACGTACCTATGTGTATCCATATTGAGTTTCCCTGTAAGAGATAAGGGCATTTTCTTGTCAAACTGGTGAATTCCTGATAAAAATGACTGAAATTAAGTAGTGCAGTAGAGGAGCCTTGAAAAACAATGCAGTGGAAAGGAAAGTAGTGAATAATATAGTGTGTTAAAGGTTTAATAATGCTTTACTTTTTCTCATATTCTTTCACATTCAGTAACTCATCTTAGTGGCTTTATTGCCTTGATTGAAGTGAAATGATTAAAAAAAAATTTAAAAGAAAAGATAATTTTTTATATTGTTTGTAAATATGCATATTTGTTCATGTTTATTTTTTTCCCGTTTTAGACTGATTTTAACTTTTACTTTCTTGTAGCATCCTCAACACAGATTCTTCCAATACTAAATTGTCAACTTTTTATCATAATACAAAGCTTCTGTTTCGTTATTTTTAAACAATTATAGTCAAGCTAACTGAAGCATAATCTAAAATTGATTTTATTTATTTCCATTTCATTAACTCTATATAAATAATTACTTGAGTTGTTTCTATTCAATCTTACATCAGAATTCTTGTGCTACTTGATGTAAAACTTGTTCTTCAAATTTGCTAAGTTCTTATTGACATTAATGTAATGATTATTTGCAAAACTGTGATGGTGGGCAGGGCTGGATTGTCCTTTAGGCTAGTATGAGGTCTGATCAAAAAGTATTGGGACTCGTGTTATAAAAAGGAAACTACAATACATATCAATTCAGCATTTTATCTCCTTTGAAGTAGTCCCCTTCTGAAGTCACACACTTTATCCAGCATTGTTTCCATTGATAGAAGCATTCCTGGAACTTATTTTGGGGGATAGAGAGCAGCTGCCTCATTGCATTCTCTTGGATCTCATCAATATCTTGAAATCTTGTTCCCTTCAAATGAGATTTATTTTTGAAGAAGAAAAAATTGTAAATAGCGAGATCTGGGGAATACAGTAGTTACTGGACTTGGGGAATTATATACTTGGCAAAAACTGCTGGACAAGCCATTGTCACTGATCAAACCTCTGTTGGGTGGTAAGATGACCACACTATACACACTTTCCTTCCAAGCATTGATATAAATAACATAACTTAGTGTCCAAACTTAGTCTGTGCCAAGTGGCTTCACTCTGAATATTTTAGCTCTGTTATTCAGTTCTGATATTTTTTTATTTGATCTTGTATAGGTTGCAGCCTAGAGTGCATCAAGTATTTATAAAGCAATGATTATAATTTTCTAGATCTTATAACTTCTAAATTGTTCCATAAACTGAAATGATATCAATATCACAAACTCCTATTTATTTTGATTGTTTTATTGTCATAATGTTGTTTGTAAAAATTGTTTTTTTTACTACAGTTGTATTGAGCTATTTGTTAATTTGGTTTGCAATGAATAGTAAAATAGTGGTATTTCTTAAAGAATATTTTTTATTGACAAATAAAAGATAACTATTCTAGTTTATTTAAAGAATTTGCAATAAGTTTACTTTGAGCTTATGTAAATGTTGCTAAAATATATCATGAGTAAAAAATATTCAAAGCGGTTATGGGCGAGTTAGAGAGCATCTGGGGACAGTAAAAGGTCATAATCCAGCCCTGGGTCGGGGAGGAAAAATTTTAGAAAATTACTGAACAATGAATTCTGAAGACAAGATGGAGACAAACTGTTTTGTTGTTTCTCAGCTCATTTCTTCATTGTCATCTTTAAAAGGGTCATAGATTAATTTACTAGAGGAGAGATTGATGACAGAAAGGAGACAGCTCCTGGCAAAAACACAGCAGCTTCTGCTGGCTGTAACTAACCTTGCACTTGAATAATCAGCCAATCAGAAGACAAAACAATCAACCCTAACATTCTAAAATATTCTAGCATATTACATGAATTCTGATTGGTCAGTTGTTGCTTCATATTCTAACAGAGGAGAAATTCTTTTCAGAGGAGAAATGGATACTTGCAAATACAATCACAAGAAGTAGTCACTGCAAAACAAGCATATAATTAAAAATAGTAATCACTGGTAGCTCCAAGTTACTCAGTGATATTATTTGCATTTAAAGGCTTGCTTCAGCAATTAGTTGGAGATTCATCTCCAGTTGTGCTGGTCAAACTTTATGCCTTCAGGCAGAGAAGAACCCAAATATGGCTATGCTGGAGGGCAGAGTATCGTCTGGGTGGTAGACAGATACCCACCCACGTTTTTTACAGGGTCTACGGGGTATTTTTGCCCGAGCATACGGGCTTGGTTTTGCCCTGCATTAAAAAAACGACCTTGTGTCACATCCTGCCTTGCGTTTAAGTATCCTCTCAATTATTTATTAGCTTTTACTAATGATTTGTCATTACCAAATTAACAAATACTATTTTTAAGTACTAGTCAAATATTGGTCTTCTTGATT